AAAAAAATTACTTGTTGAATATCGGATAAAGTTCGTTTATGAATATTTCGTTGTACACATGATTCTGAATCATTATTTAATTCAACAAAATAAACTTGAAATTGATTAGCTTCGGCATAATCTGCCATATCTCGAAAATGTGCTAATTGTTCATTATTTTGATCAATAATTAAAAATGGATAAAAACGATCATCTATTGATTTTTTAACAAGTTTTATTAAACTTTTTCGATATGTTTCTTCCATTTTTACATCATATTCATATTCCATTATCTTAAAAATAACTATTTATATAAAGAGAAAACTTTGTTATTTTAGAACATACAGATGATTTTGTAATTTTGCCTGTTTTAGGATCTTTAGTTTCTTGTTGATTTTCAGTTAGAAAATAATTATCAATTGAAAAAATTTTTGGTTTATTGGTACCTTTTGATTGAAATTCTTCTTCATTCTATAAAGATAGATTTTAGAAAAAAAAAACTAATCATGAATTTGATTTACTTTAATTAAATCAGCAACATATGATTTACCAGAACCTATTCAAAGATGTTTTTTTTAGATAATAAGAAATAAAAAAAAAAGGAAATACAAACCAGGTAAACCACGAAGAAAAACAATAATTTGTGATGGTCGTTGTGATCGCCCAGGTTCTTTAAGAAGTGTATCTATCTGTAGAAAAATAGAGAGAAACATTTTTTAGAATTAGTTTAAAATTTTTTTGTAGAAATCATACTGATATAAGTTGATGTTTTTGAAAAAGTTGACTAGTTAATACTTGTTGTTCATTTGAATTAGAATGAGTTGTTTGAGAATTTATAGGATATGTATTACGATCACTGTTCACCCATTGAGAATTAGAAAGCTGTGGATTAAATGGTTCTGATGGAGGTGCTGGTGGAAATCGTAATCTAGGATTTGTTGATTGAAAATGATGTTGTGGTTGCTGTTGTTGTTGATTATTACGAAATGTTTGTGACGAGAGACTCATTAAAGATGGAAGTTCTTTTGTATTTTCATTGTCATAATTTGACTAGAAAAATAAAAATATGATAAAATATTATATATTAAATAAACTTACTGGTACATCGAAATCCGATTCTTCAAGATAATGACTTTTTCTTTTTAATAAAGCTGTACCACCACTAAATGATGGTTGAGGAATTCCAGTACCACTGCCAAATGATGGTTGTGAAATATTCGTATTATTAGTAAATGATGTTTGTGAAATACCAGTTCCACCACTAAATGAAGGCTGAGGAATACCAGTACCATTACTGAATGATAGTTGTGGTGGAGGTAAGGGTGGTTGCATATGATGAAAAGTTGTTGGTGGTGATGGAATAAATGTTTGCATAGATGTATTAGGTGGTCCAGGAGGCGACTGAAGTATCCAAGATTGTTGTAGACGTGGATGAGATTGGACAAACATCATTGGTTGTTGTTGTTGTTGTTGTTGTTGCATTGGTAAATTACCAGGATATGGTTGATAAAAATTATGAGTGGGTGCATTATACATTATAGATGGATGTTGTCCTATATGTTGCTGTTGTTGTAGTTGATGTTGCTGTTGTTGTTGTTGAGGGAAAAATACAACATGTCGATTAACAGGTTGTCCATTGTTGAAATGATCAACTATAAAATACGCAGCATAAATACTTTCCATTTCAAAAAAGAAGATTAATGTGTTTCAAAGAAAACTACTTACATTGATCACCACGATATGGTATCATTCTAATAAATAATTATTAAACATCTAAAAATAACATAAGATTATATAATTTATATTCACTAATCAAAAATTTTTTTTTCTTAATCTAGCTCATTTAAGCTCCTATTAAATATATGTTAAGTTATCGCGTGATCTATAAGTATATGTCATTCATTGTAAATTATAAAAAAAATTTAATATTTACTCATTCAAAGTTTGTAGTAGTATCTAAAGAAACAAAAAAAATCCATTAATAAGTAGTTGCAGATGATGATAAAAATTTATAAGATTTCATATTTTCATAGAATATAAGGTAGATCAAGTGAAGCTCGTAATGTTTAGAAACCATAAGAAAATCACAATGTATCAGATAGACATAACCTTGAGAAAATATTTTTAGGAATTCGTTCATGTTTGAATAATTTCTTTCTTATACTATAAAGAGAATATGAAACAATTTCTTCAATATCTTTGAAAGCAATACTCGATTGTAAAAGAATTTATTAACGCGCCAATTAGTGTAACAAGAAAGAAATAGATGCCAATAAAAATGTGTTCATCTTCAAGTACATCAACAACGGATCTACAACAATGTCAAGTAATATGTTCTGATTCTTATTCTCAAACATCACTGAACAATAATGACGACGATGATGATGATGACTATGCAAATTATGAAGAAATTTATTGTCAAAAATCTTTGATAACTACACATGAAAATAATATCAAAAAATCTGATCAAACAACACTTTGTCGAATCAATCGTTATTCAATTGCTTGTTGGACAAAACCAGCTTATTTAATAACTAATTAACTGATCAAAATAAAAGAGATATTTCAATGAAATAGATTCCTATTCAAATAAAAAAATTCTCATTTTACTCAAATTTCATTCCATTTAATTTGTTTTAAACAAATACATGGATACGAAATATTTACTCGTATGCTCGATATCAATATCATCTTTCTAAGTCAAAATTTATTCATACTAAAAAAGAAAGCTATATAGAACTTTTCAATCTACTAGTAAAAATTGAATGACACAATAGATGAAATCTATCAATAACAAAATATCGATATTTTTTGGGCTTCTTAATCTTTAGATACTTGTTGATACTTACTTCAACACAAATATCTTTATAAAACAGCTAGTATCATATTAAACTGATGTACATAAATTTTGTCTTAAAATACGCTTACAAAGTAAAATTTCTCTCTAAAAAAAACTTACTGCTATCTTAATTGTAATCATTCATGATCCTATGACATATTTATATTGATCGGCACATCAAACTTTAACATTCAGCCATTATCGTATTGATTATAAAACGTAATCTGTTTTTTAATATTATCTACAAACATAATACAAAAAAGGCATTGTTCTATTATTCTCAATGAATACTAATTATGTAATATTCTGAATGAAATAAGACAGCTACATACACACACGCACGCACACACACACTCATAAATATGGAATGTTTAATTTTATCAAACAAAAAACAATTCATACTGTTCATTCTCAACGAACATCAATTTGTGAAATAACACTAGCATTATTATCAGCACCATTCGTTGTTTTTCGTAAACGTCTTAAACGTTCTTGAAATAATGTATTCATATGATAACGAAGTGCTGTACCACGACGTCGAAGATCATTTTCACACATATCATGATTTGAACCAAGACGTTGAGCATCTTCTAATGACATTTTTCTTAATTCTAATTGTGTATCTGAATCAGTACGTAAATCAAGACTTTTAGCTGATTTATCTAAAGGAGCAGTACGAGCGGTATTAAAACCAGCTAAACAATGCTGAAAAAAGAAAAGAAATAATCGTTGACTAAAGAAATTTGTTTTCTTTTTTTTACATTAGCAAGAGCAACACTATCTGTTGATAGATCTGATAAATGAGCACGTTTTGGTGGACGAAATTTATATGCATTAGCATTAACACGATATTTTGGAACACTTACACTAAAAAAAATCAGAAGGATAAAACTTTTTTTTATAAATTTTTTTCTAATTATTACCGTGCATATTGTGGTTCATAAGAATTAGGTTCTTTACGTAATGATCCACAAATTGGACAACAACTTTGTCCATTAGCATCTGCATTAGTTGGAACAGTAAAAAGACGATCATTAACTGTAAAACTATGAATACCTATATACAATATATATGCCAATATTTTTCATTATTAACTTTTTTTGTATATTTACAAGTATGGGAATGTTGATAACCATCTGGTGGTATAAGTTCAAGTTCTTTCGAAAAATCTGCTAAATCAGCTTCACTAAATTATTTCGAAAATAGATTATCTAATATAAAAGAATATTTATTTTTGTATACTTTGATAATGTATATGATGTTGATTGATCTAAATTAGTTTTACGAAATGATACTAATTCATCTAAATATGATTCCGATAAAGAACGATCATTATTTAATAATGCTGCTTTTTCATTATCAAGTAATCCAGCAACAAAATCATAACCAAGTAAAACTTTCTGACGATTATTAACTTGTGTTTGTTGTTTTTTTGGTGATATACTTGTTGATTTTCTCTGCTGTTTTAATGACATATTTTGTCTTTCATGAATGCGTTTCTTTAGAAAAAAAATAAGTATATAGAAATTTCAATTTAGAAACAAAACAAACTTTAATTTGTTCAACATTATCCGTTGACCAAACTTGTTCTTGTTGAGTAGTTGATGTTCGTAATGTATTATAATAAACATCTCGATCATTACCTTCATCAAGTAATGAATGCCAATGTTTAAGCTATATGAAATAAAGATAATTAAATAATTAATTTAGAAATTAAGAAATATTAACTTCATTCCAAGGTTCATTTTTCTTTCTTATAACTTTTTGAGATTCATTATTTTCTTGTTCTTCTTCTTCATCGTTATCATCACCATCATCATCTGTATTATATGAATAATTAAGACCTTTTCGTCGTTGATCTTGAACATTTTTTAAATATTGATCAATGTCGACACGAGAGATATTATCAGGAATATTAACAACAAATGGTTCAAGTGAACATTTGTCATCATTAGAATCATCTTGCTTTTTTAAAATTGAACGTGATTGTAGAGAATCAATTGATGTCTAGAGAAATATATACATATAAAAAATATATTCTCTTTCAAAAAAATATATTTTTACTTTCATATTTGATTGATTATCATCAAGAAATGACACGCTTTTACTTTTTTTTTATTATTCCTGTTGTATCATTCGTTATTGTTTTAACTTGATTGGAAATAACTACTTGATGAACATTGAGACGATCAATTAGAGAACGAGTTTGTTCTGCAAGACTTCGACTATTTGCCATTCTACTGAACGGATTTTATTTTCAAAAGAAAAATACAGAACAGAACAAACAATAAATAAACACTAGTGAACTATAGTAACCAATCAACTATTCATATGATAGATGTCTAGTTGTATATTTTTTATGATTGGTGAAGAATCTATAAAAATCAATCTATTACTATTACTGCTCCCTCGTCGACGACAGTCACTTCGTTAGCAAGAAAGAGAAAAAAAATCAATTTACTTACAATTGATGTTCTGTTTTATTAATCATCTAAAATTTTAAATGTATTATTATTATTTGTTAACATGCCAACAGATGTAATTAATAAGCCTGATGAACTTTTTGAAATCTTTGTAAATGCTCAAACATTCAAAACAATACTTCATTCATTTGATGATTTATGTCGAGTACTTCGTATTGATAGAAAATTAATTGGTTATGGCAAACGATCATTGTATAAGATCTTAACAAGTAAATTAACATCATGGAAATCGAAAAGTCTTTGGGCAAAAATTGATAAGCGTGGTTTACAAAAAGAATATGAGAATGGATACGCTTGTGCTGACACGAAGGTAAAACATCTTTATCGATTATTAATTTGTTTTATATATATATATATATTTGAAAACACAAATCATCTAATCTATTTTCATATCTAGATCGACTACTAAAAAGAAAATAATGTAAGCGTGCGTGAACGCTTTCATTTATATTCATATATTTTTTTTTCCAAAGTTTTTCTTTTTTTGCATGACTTTTCTTTTTGATCGTCTCAGCAGCCACAGAAAAAACAACATCAACAATATATAAATTCATAAATCCTTGCTTAGAGTTTTTCTTTTCGACCCTGGATGCATGTATAAAGCTTTTTTTTTTTTTATGCTCCCAGCATGGTGAATTTCTTCTCCTTTTTTTCTTCTCTTATACTACAGTTACCGTTCATCATTTTGTCTCAACCATCAATCACTACCAGCTTTCTAATCTCTTTCTCCGACCATCGTTGTATATAACATACATACACATCGACACTTGTGTGTAGTGTGAGATTACATTGCGTGTGTATGAATGTGTATATACTCTTAGTGAAGGCAATGAGCGACAGAGAGAAAGGATAATTGGAAAGAAGGAAAGGCACTCTATATATGTATATATATATATTAGTATGAGAGTAAGTGTATAGTAAAAAAAAAAAAGAAAGAAATCACTCAACGTACGTATGAACAAACATAGAAGGCATAATGATTGCACATAGAAATTGTTTAAACGGAAAGGAATATAAATAGTTACGAGACGTAATCAAAAGCAGAATGTTTTTGTTGTAACCTTAAACTTAATTGGGTTCTATAAAAAGTAAATTAAACATTTTGATGAGAAATATCTGTCAAAAACGATAAATGATATATAAATTACAGATGACAATATAAGAGGTTTCTTTATCATCAACAAAAGAATAATTATTCAAGTTTTTTTAAGGTATGCATTGTGGGCGCTGGTCCCGTTGGTCTTCGATTAGCCATTGAATGTGCATTACTTGGCGCACGATGTGTCGTTGTTGAAAAACGAGACAGGTTTCGTTTACTAATTATTCTTGCATTTTGTTAAAATACGAATATTTTATTCAGATTTTCTCGTCATAATGTTCTACATCTATGGCCTTATGTTATTACAGATTTAAAAAATTTAGGTGCCAAGGTTTTCTATGGTAAATTTGCTACGGGGCAAATTGAGCATATAAGTATGTTATTAGAATATTTCTAGAGAAAATATTATATATAAAAATTTTTCTTTTTCCTTCTGCTATTATTTAGGCATTCGACAATTACAATGTATTCTATTAAAAATTGCTCTTCTACTTGGTGTTGAAATCTATCAAAATGTTACATTTATTGATACTATTGAACCAACATTAACTCAACCAAGTAGAGGAAATTTGTTTTATATTTAGATTTCTAAATTTATTTAAATAGATTGGCGAGCTCATTTTGAACCTGTATCTCATCCGGTGGTGTCAACGTATGATTTTAATGTTTTAATTGGTGCTGATGGTCGTCGAAATTCATTACATGGTTTTCAACATAAAGAATTTCGTGGAAAATTAGCTATTGGCATAACATGTAATTATGTAAATCATCACACTCGTGAAGAACAAAATTTTGAAGGTTAGATTTATTTATTTATTTATTTGTGATTAATTAAATTTTCTGTTTTTTTCTGCTTTATTACATATATAATACAGAAATTAGTGGTGTAGCAAAAATCTATAACCCACAATTTTTCAATGAACTTCAACAACAAACATCAATTGATCTTGAAAATATTGTTTATTACAAAAATGAAACACATTATTTTGTTATGACAGCTAAAAAACAATCATTACTTGATAAAGGTGTTATTCTTCAAGATTATCCGGATGCTGCAAGATTATTAGCACGAGATAATGTTAAATTTTCACAATTATGTAATTTTGCTTGTGAAGCTGCACAATTTGCAACGAAATCTACTTCACAATTTAAATTTGAATTTGCTGTAAGAATATTTTCAAAAGATATCAAATTCTTTGCATTCATATAGGGTTTAGATCACATTTTTGTATAAATCTATAAAATTGCATTCAGATGAGATGATGTATGAATAATTATTTAAATAAAGATAATCATATTCTAAATCCGTTCTTATGATTCCGATAGAATCTATTTTGTAATGGAGCGTTTTAAAATTATTTCGATATGTTCTAATTTTAGAAATATAATTGAATTGAGTAAATATTTATCTAATTAACATTCTGTCTGTATTTTTTTTTTCTATCAAAGAGAAAATATTAACTCTATTATTTTGTTTGTTTTAATCATGAAATAGAAAATTAGAAGTTTGTTTATAATAGGAAAATCATTATGGTACAGCCGATGTACAAATGTTTGATTTTACATCATTATTTCATGCTGTTAATGCTTCACGTATTGTTGAACGTAATGGTAAACAAATATTGATGGGTCTTGTTGGTGATAGTTTACTTGAGGTAAATAATCAAACAAATTTTCTTTATTTACTCATTAATTATATTAATTTAGAGTTTTTGGCCAACTGGCTCTGGTGCTGGTTTAGGATTTTTTGGGTTATTTGATACAGCTTGGGCAATACTTAAATTTGCTAAACATGAACATCCACTTAAAGTTCTTGTTGAACGTGAAAGTGTATATATGTTATTATCACAAAGTACACCAGAAAATACAAAAAATAATTATCAATTATATTCAATAAATCCTGCAACACGATATCAAAGTTTAAATTCCAAAATGTGTACAATTGAAGAAATACGTCATTTATATGATTCGGATAGTATACCAACAATTGATATGAATAATAATCATATAATATCAACAAAAACGAATCGAACACCTGTACGACGTACACAAAGTTTTAAACAAATTCCTTCAACATTACCATCAAATGGTATTTGAAATTATTTGAATATATATATATATTTTATTTATTTTATTTTTAAAGGAAATAATACTGAAAAAGAAACTTTGCTTGTTGATTGGTGTGAAGAAATTGTTGATACATATGCAATAGAAATAAAGAAGGATTCAAAAGCATTCCAAAACAGTCTTGCTTTTTGTGCTATTATACATCATTATCGACCGGATTTAATGTATGTATTAAATTAAATTAAATGTATATATATCATTTCTATTTATTTAGTGATTTCAAATCTCTACAACCCGATCGACCAATTAGTAATTTTCAAATTGTAATGTTTACTCTTTATTTAAATTAATAAATAAATCATATATTTCTTTTTTTAAGTTATTTGATATAATGCATGATCAATTATCATTACCAATCGATCGAAAATTACAAAATAGCCTTATTCTATCGATGAAAAGTTCAATTGAAGAACGTATACGACAATCATCTATTGTTATTCTTCAATTATTATATACACATTTTCATCATGATCATCAAGAACAACAATTACAACGACGTCGATCAAGTACAGCATTACTTGATGTTTCATCTCCAATATTACAAGCGATACAAAAACCAATAGATGAGACAAACAACAATAATAATAATATGACTACAAACATTAATATCAATAATAATAATGGCGGTTCGACAATTAAAGTCAGTGCACTTGTTGCTCATTATTCAAGCAGTGAAATATCATCATCATCATCGTCATCATCAGTAAATGTATGTATTAACCTTTAAAAATAATAACGAGTCCTTAATCGAATAGAAAAAGCAAGTAATTAGTTATATGTCAATCAAAAGGAAAATTTTCAAAGTCGTGTGTAGTCAATATAATAGATATTAATTAAGTTTATAGTTAAATGTCATCTCAACATCTAGCACAGCACTGATATTAAAATACTCTATTAACAATATATAAATGTCTTTCTAGAGTACAAATTAGTAGAACTAGTATTTTCTTACAAAAATAAATGTAAGACATATCTATACTTGTTTCTTTGAAAGATCAACCTTAACATGCAACGTTGATACTCCAGTTTCCATTATTAGTCTGTAACATTTTAACCCTTTGACTCCCGGCAATTTTTAATATACTTCCGATATTCAGCTTAAGAAGGAACTTCTTAAAGTATTATTTTCAGTTTTAACTCATTTATATGCCATCTGATAAAGTTTAACGTGATAACACTGAATTATATATAAATAGATAAAATTTTAAATAGAAAGTCCCTATAACAAGAGAGAAAAAAGTATTTTTAGTACACTTGATCGAATGAAATATAACAGATCTCTTCACGTATTTATCTAAAAATATTTTTCTTTTTTAAGAGTCATAATTTAATTGGTTTACAATCTGAACGTGCTCCAACATTTTGTTTCTATTGTAAAGAAAAAGTATCCATACAAGATTGGTTTGTTGTGGAAAAAAATGTTTTACATGTTAAATGTTTTAAATGTGATACATGTCATTTACAATTACGAAAAACGAATTATCAAGTATTTATTGAACCAATTACAGGCAAAATGACATTTCATTGTCGATATCACAAATTAAATAAGCCAGAAAAAGTAAAAGAAAATGAAAAGAAAAAGAAAAGAGTTTGTTAAATTTTTTTTATTTACATTTTTGTTTTATACAAAGGATGATGATAATAATAATAATATTAATATTAATAATAATAATGACAATAAACAACCAAAATTTGGTAAGTCTCGTGTTATATATATTATTTATTAGAATATCTTGATCGATATAATTTTCTCCAGTAACCAGTAAATAATTGTTTTAAATCTCGACGAAAACGTTTTCCAAGTACGAAATACAGAATAAAATTAATTGAGTGATTTATAATCATTAATAAACGTGCAATAGTATAATAGATTTTATCAGATCGATTATTGTCAGTTGTTTTTGAACTTAAATGATTATTATAAAATGTTGATGATAATGTTTTTGATTTTCTCGACATAATTAAATTGAGAACAACAGCTGGTAATGTTAAAGCTAAAAATGAACATGAAACAAATAATAATAAGATTGTTAAACGTGTATTATTTGAATTTGATGTATGCATTGATTTATGACGTATTGAAGATATTTCAAAACGATGATGAGAACGAAGTTTTAATTCAAATGATAATGTTGATAATTCAGTTGATATACTAGATTGTTTTGTATTAAAACGCATGCGTCGTTCATCAATTTGACCTGAAAAGAGAAAAAAAACACAATTCATATATAATATGAAAATTCGATTTAAAAAAAAACGATATTTACTTAATTGTGGACGTAACATTATTGCTAATGGTTGTGTTTCAAGAGTTGATTGAAAACGTCTTGAATGACGTTGATGTGCTTCAATTAATTCGATAGCTTCATGACTTTCGGAATAATGTCGATGTTTAATATCTTGTTGATCATATCGAGATGTATTATTATTATTAAATGAAAACATACGTTGTCGAAAACGTTGTGCATCAATTAAACGACGAATAATTAATGAATTCAACGTAACAATAATAAAAAATGGTATTAAAGTATAAACTGCTAAATCAACATAAACCCATGCTTGTTCATATCGTCGATTTGTTAGAGCACATCGAACTATAACAGGTTTTTCATATGTATAACCTGTATCATTATTACATGTATGTACATTAAAACCATATTCTTTAAAATGTTTAACAAGAATTAATACAGGACTATCAAGTAAGAAGAAGAAAATAATTAAAACAATTAATACAATACGTGTATGTGTAACAGTATTAACTTTATGTGCAATTAATGGATATTGTACAGCAATAAAACGTTCAACAGTTACACCTACAACAAGACCAGCGGATAAATGTGTAGTAAAATGTCCAAACCAATAAACAAAACGACAAGAAAAATCTGATAAATGTTTTATATCAAGTTTATAATCAACTTGTGCTAACCAATCAGGTATAGCACTACCTAATAAAAATAAACAATCAACAAATGCTAATATTGTTAAATAAAGACTTGTTGGATAACCACTTCGACGAACATTAAGAAACATAATAAAACATGATAAACTATTACCAAGTATACCCATTAATATAAATAATGGATAAATATATAAATGTATATGTTTTGCAATTAAAGAAAAAAGATTTTCTTTTCGTACATCCGATGTTGTTGCAGCTGGAGTAACACCACATGCAATATTATGATCACCAAGATCATTGATAGGAAATGTACAATGAATAAATTGACATGTTGAATGTACGCTAACAGCATGTCGTTCGACATCGGTTAGGGATAATATATATCGTAGGAGTTCTCTTGTTGTATTCTGTGTATTCTCATCCATAGTATTCACAGCTTGTTGTCGTATTTTTCCGTCGTCACAATCAAACTATCTACTGATGCATTCTGAATAAAGAAAAAAAAAATGAGAGAAGGAGACGTAATAGAGAAAAAAAACTCTAGAAAGAAAAGACGAACGAGTGATGTCTTCTTCTCTTTTCCCTTCCTTTTCTCTTATTATCCGAAATCTTTTTTTAACTTCATGTCACTACATACACACGTACCTTTTCTATTGACTTAATAATATAGAAAAAAAAAATCTTTTTACTATTGAACGATTAACATTGTTAAATGTTTAATGTGTCATCAGGGATAAGAAAAATTAGTCTCGAACAAGGACATATAAAATTGGATGTAGACAAATAAAAAAGAAACGAAATAAAAGAAAACCTTATTAATTTTTATTATGTTTAAATAGGCCTTGGTCAGTGTGAACGTGGGTCATCAATTGATAAAATAGATAATATAAAAGAACAACAAATATCTCCAGCTCATCATCTAGATACTACACCAGCTATTGAACGTGCGTCATTTACGCTCGAAAAGGAAATTCTTGATGATGAAAAAGATGAAATTGTTTATAGTTCGACATCGAATATAACGTAAGTGCCTTATCTAAGAGATTTCTTTTGTTTACGAACTAAAGTATATCTATTTGTGTTCAAAGGAATGATGATGGTGAACAAACATCAGCAAAAACCAATGATAATTTAACAAATTCTTCTGTCGAAGAAACAACTGATGATGATGATGATGAAGAAGACAATGATGAATCGGACAACGAAGAAGAAAGAAATAATGGCGATGATGATTCAGCGTAAGTTCTCTATTTGTTTTTTTTTGCTAAGATACGATTAGATTTCAATAGAACAAAAAGCAACGCTACATAGGATTCTTTCTTTTTTTATCTTCATTTACAATAATGTTTGGATATTTGAACAAAAAAAACAAACTAAAAAGAAAATCCATTTAATGATTAATAAACTCGTATATATTCGTTTGATAGTTTTCTATGAAAACAACAAGGAAATACCGACTTGAGTCATTTTGTATGAATGAAAGAAAAAGAAGAAAGTACCCAGATACTCATTGAGTTTTCCTTTCTTCATCTGTTGATTCAGACAAAACATTTATTGACAATCGTAGTAGAAAATATTGATCATCACATGACAATAAAGAGAAAAAA